AATTACTAGCGTGTCCAATATTTTACTAGGTTTTGATACAGCTAACTTTCATTTTAATTTTAAAATTCTTTAATTATGAAAGCAGGTAACACAAGTAACCATATAACAGTTCTATTTTAATAGCCTCCCAGTGGCACAGCGGTATGTCTGCGGACTTAGAACGCTAGAATCCGGGTTTCGATACCCGTGGTGGGCAGAGCACAGATAGCCCATTGTGTAGCTTTGTGCTTAATTGCAAACAAACAAACTATTTTAATAACTTTCAAAAATTGGAAATTAGTTATAAACTTGCTATAGCAACTTGCGATTTTGATGCATTAGTTTTCGAAGCTCATTATGAATCAAACAAAATGGAAACTTGCGAACGTTAAGTCATTTAAAAACAGAACGCAGCCCAGTGGCCAGCTTCCCAACTGTAGAGCTAAAGTTCTGTGGTTCGCGTCCCGTTACCGCCACACATACACACAAAAGATCCCGCTCTGCATCCTGGGATCACGTGTGCGTTATAAGAATAACGATGAAATCCTACTATTTGATTTGATAAGAGAATCCTGAAAGTTAGCGGTGGGTGGTTTGTCTTCTCTTGGTCATCCATTCAAAATTATGGTTGATTTAATGCGAAATCCAAGTATAGAAAAACCAAATCGTTTGATGGCATAATGTTGCTTATACATGCGTTTTCAACCTCGATGGTTTTGTACTGCTTATAGACATAAGAGCTTAGCAATGATTGCAGTATTAATGAAAATAAAAATGATTTTAAACAATCTCTCTAACTAATTTACCTCCTGAACTCATGTTTAAAAAAAAAATCATGATTTCTACCGCCATACGATTATTATTGTAAAATTAGGGTTAACGATGATGTGTGATGGATTTTTAAAATCATTATATAATGCTAATTTGTTTTTAAAATTACTGTGTTTATTTGTAATAGTCAACTAAGGAGTATTATTAAGATATGGGCAGATGTTTCCTAAAATTTTAGCTAGTTAGTTAAGGATATTTTAATCACTTTGCTCCTAAGTTAAAGTCTTTATTATTGTTGAAATCACCATATTTCTCAAAAAATAAAAATTAACCACAAAAAAGGTCACTCAGCCTTTAGAACATTCTAAAATAAACTTAAAGATTAAATGAATTATTTCTTGTCTATAAAATTATTCTAGTAACACCTAAAAAATCTAATATATGTGTGAAAAGTACTATACTTGGTTATGTATCATAATAGTTAACAACTTTAAGAAGAAGCTTGCAAAGACTTATGGAGGACTGGTTATTGCTAAGGGTATTTTTTTAAAGCCATTTTTACGTTGTCGTGTTGTTATAGTTCCATATAGTACGTGCAAGGAGAATGTTTTTTTCAAATGCAGGAATATCGTCAATTCGGACACACGATAATTCTGTACGAAGAGGTATAATTTTTGCTAATAAATGGTATTACTGTGACTTGTATTGACATGCGTCTGTTTGAACAAACTCAAATTGAAAAAGGCTTAAAGTAACTGGCTTGAAATAGGGTGCCTTCACCGTATTTGAGTCTTGATCGTGCAGGTTAGATTCCTTTTTCAAATAAATCAGTAGGTGTTGCATGAGTCTAATAAAACTTTCGACAGAAAGTATTTCTGCTTGTTAAGGAAAAATCTCATCTTATGCCTATAAATATCTTATTAATTAGAAATCCTTGTTATTTTTTATTTATAATTTTACAGTTTTCGTCTGGCTTAACTAATAAGTTCGATAGCTTAGAAACAAAATATCATTAAGAAAACAACAGATCAGTAATTGTTTTTAAATGGATTTGTTTTGAATTTCGCGTAAAGCTGCACGAGGGCTATCTGCGCTAGCCGTCCGTAATTTAACAGTGAAAGACTAGAAACATTTGAGCTACTATTTTACCAACGAATAATGGGATTCACCGCCACATTATAACGCCTCCACGGCTGAAAGGGCGAGCATGTTTGGAGATTGCAAGTCAAGCGCCCTACCCACTTGGCCATGCAGGCCTATTTTAAATGGGCAACTAACAAAACAATCTAAAAAAAGATCAATCAGTATTTTAAAAACAGTGTAAGTTTTTCCTTAATTTGTTACTCTAATATTACTGTTTTAACATCTAAAATTTATATTGTATGGATTGTTGGTCCTGTTGAAAAGTGCGGAAACAACTGCGACAATGCCATCTGAAGTTTAAACTGTAATATCGAGGACCTAGAAATCTTCTTTTCTATGATCAGTGCATGATCATCGAGAAAGTGTTTGTGTCATATATTGTAAAGATTTTCTTTATAAAATACCTTCTAATGCCATTCATGGTCCAATTTTCATATTTTCTGGCTTAAAATTTGACCTTCAAAAGATGATAAAAACAGTTACATAGTCTATTAAAGCGAGCGGAAGAATCTCAGTCGTAATTCATATATCCTTGGTCTCGCACCCAAGACATGTAGGATACAAGTGGTGTAGGCCCGGCATGGCCAGGTGGTTAGGAAGCACAACTTACAATCTGTGAGTCGCGGGTTCGAATCCCCTTCCCACCAAACATCTTCGCCCTTTTAGCTGTGGGGGCTTTATAACGTAACGGCCAATCCCACTAATCGTTGTTAAAAGAGTATTCAAAGAGTTGGCGATGGGTGGTGATGACTAGCTGCTTTCCCTCTACTCTTTCACTGCTAAATTACGGACGGCTAGCGCAGATAGCCCTCGTTTAGCTTTGTGCGAATTTCAAAACAAACCCAAACTGGTGAAATCGCTGTTTACTCACGAGACAGTCGTGGCGCCAGTTGTCTGGCATCTGCTCTTTTAAATGTATTACATGATCCTTTTTTTAATTAACTCTGTATTTTATTTTCATTTATTAGTATTTGTTGTATTAACCCAAATGTTGTTTTAATGTGCGTAAGTTTTTAACCAAGTTCAAAAATATGCTTTATATTTATTGTAAAATAATAGAAAAATAACGTTGGTTTATTAACTCTTTTTATGGTATCAAAATCATATCCAATTATTAACTAAAAAGGAAATGTTTCCCAACTAACCGAAACATTTGCTCTCGTGAGTATTTGAACGTGCTAGTCTTTTAATTCAGATGTGAGTAATCAAAATTATTTCTAAGAAAAAGAAATTTAATATACTTGTGACCCATATGCGATAAATCTAAAAGTTGTAAACTGAAATGTACCTAAATACATTAGTGTGACGTCTAAGTTACGTATGTTGCAAGTACTTGTGATTTTATCACAAGTCCTACCTGTCTTTTAGTTTTAATATAGAGATAATATACGGAACTTTGTTTCGGAAAAGAAAAAAAAATAATAAAATAAAATTTCCCTTGATGCATGTAATGTAAATACAGGTTCCAAGTTGGAAAGTTAGTTGTTCTGAGACCAATTTATATGCATTTTTATGATGTGTTTGGCACGCTGACATTGTATTCTATGTTTAGCTAAACGATTCATACAAATTATGATTAAAACCACAACATGAAAATTACATGCTCGCTTATTGAAGGTATCAGGCTTCAAATAAAATCAAGAAGATCATTTCTCTTCCAGAAATATAGACGTTTCGAAACATTTAATAAAAATATAGAAAATTCTGTTAAAATGAAGTATTCGAAGAAAAAATCAAGGCTAAAATGCTAATCCAAAATGTAGAAATAAAAGGGCCATCCTCCAAACTAGCTAAAGGTACCATACTTCACACAACTGTAAAATGTAAGAAAATACCTAGTATAATTATTAAAATATAGAGATGTTTTAAAATATTAGTTTATTTTTATGGTTTTAATTTTTTTTAAACAATTATTGTTGTGTTTGTTTTTCAGGAGGTGAAGACAACCAGATGTCTAACGATGACTGACACTATCATTTTCTCACGGAAATAAATGCAGATCAGTGGATCTGTCTTCATGGAGGTCTTATTTGTACACTATAAAGAGTTGTGTTTATATTCATCCCACGTTCCCTATTTATGAACTTTTGTTTCTTTACTACTTTTATCCAAAAATAAGTTTGCTCTTTAAGTAAACGTATTTATATACATTATTGTGACGAATGTAACTTCTTAATGTGGTTTTATTCTTGTTCTGTGATTGCACTACACTTAACTTGTATTATATAATTAATGAGACACAATATTATAAAAGTTTGTATATTTTGAGTTGATGTATCGCTAAGAAACTTCCTGCATATATCAGTAGTTATAAACATTACAGTGTAATGAATTGTTGAAGTATGTATTATTACACTAAATATGTTTTACAAGTTTACATTTCTTTACTATTGACAGTGAACTCTTAACACCGACCAAAAATACTGATGACTTTGTCCAACTTTTGTAAAACCTATAAAATAATTTTCGCTGCAGTTATGAACATTTAAATAATCCAGTAAAAATATAATACAAATGAAATGCCTGTAGAAAAATATAAGAACCAGTAATAAAAAAACAAAAACAAACACGAGTACTGTTACGTATTAGAATTTCGAATAGTGCGAAGCCGAGTTAACTGATAATTTAAATTTAGTAGTTAAATTATACTTTGGATTTAGTATTTAAATATATGCCAATATATAGTCAGTTAATGATATTTGCCAACAAGATTAATACACACCGTTTTCGTTTTTAACACAAATACGTTTTAATACACACACACAACAGTACAATTTACAATAACAATTATTACATATAGTTACTACAAACAATGATTTATAAACAAAAGTTTCACAAACTTACAAGCAATATAAAGTCTTCTTTTTACTCTGGAATTTCTTCGATATCTTATCGAGGGTTCACGATGAACGAGTTGATTACGAGTTGACGGAGATATATTTCACTTTGTCTCTCACTGATCACACGCCGATTTTTCCACCTGTGACGTTAGGTAATGTTTTCATAAAAATACTAATGTCCGATGAGAATCCACTGAAGTTAAATGATTTGTAATGTTCGAACTTTGTAAAGGTTCCTGGTCAAATATCTGAAGCTCTCCGATTGATAAGCGTTATAAAAATCACAGTTATAGCTTTCGAAGTTTATAGCGCACTGACTCTAGCAAACTAATAATAGATACTCTTCTTGGCGCGTCGTGTTTGTTGTATTTATAGCTGTGGGAAGGTTTTCTAGAAAATTCAGTCTTACGTAACAATACTGGTTAAAGCGTTTATGTATATAAATATATTGTTGATTCTTACTCCCGAGAATCTTCTACAACTTTGGAGAATTACTGTTAGAATACCTATCTAACAGTATAAGGTATGTATGTTTTTAAATATAAATTTAATCTAAACAACGTTTATGTTAAAATAAATACATAACAACAAATTCGTTACAGTAAGAAAAAAAATGTTTTCTTCTAAAAGCATCTAGTAACATATCTGCAAAGACTGTTTTTAAATTACTCGCAAGCAGGTGGGTTGTCCTTATAGTAGTGTTCTGGCTTTCGAAGCTACCGAGTAGTGTTCAAATCCGAATGATACCACAAAATTTGTCTCGCACTTTAAGTTGGGTGAGTTATAAGAGTGATAATCAATCTACTAGCGTGAATGGTTGATGGCGGGTGGTAGGATGCTGCTGACTAGCTGTCTTCCCTCTCAGAGAGGTGGCAGATAAATTTTGTAGCTTTACCATAAGTACAAATTACACATTACTTAACATAATTTCGTGCTAAAAGACCAAGGTATCGAAAAGTTGCGACCATGAAGCTTCACTTTAATTCACGTAATTAAGTTTTAATATAAAAAATAAATATACATATATATACGAAAGTCAATTTCCATAGGAAGAATTTAAATCACGTTTAATAATTTAATCCTCTCAAACAGGATTACTGGGGTAAATGACTTAGAATAAGATATCTATCCATTTTCAAGCATTATCTTCTCCCAAGTGGCACAGCGGTAAGTCTGCAGGCTTACGACACTAAAAATCGGGTTTCAATACCCACGGAGGACATAGCACAGACAGCTCTTTGTGTAGCTTTGCGCTTCGAAACAACCAAACCAATTAAATACTAGCGAAAAAAGAAACTGAATGAAAATTTGAAGTAAAAGAATTTTATGGACAAAATTATTCCGAATTTGAAATATATAGGCAACACATTAATTGTGACATACCAATGACAAGTCGCCAGCTTTAAAATAATCTCTCAACTACACCATGTAGTTTTCTATAGAGGCTTTGTACTGACCTCAAAATGTCACGTGTAAGTGGTTTACTCCACTATATCAGAAGTCAAGTGCTTGCTCACGTTAAAGATATATCGAGAAATTTAATAGCCTTAGAGTTTCGGATCTGTATATTTTACTAAAGACGATGTGTAAAACTTTACAGAATGTTGTACTGATAAGGAATCCTGCTGATTCGCTAAAAGAGATTATTTGACGCCTAACATGACCATTTGAATGTTACGTCACGTACAAAACCTCCATGACGTTGTGGCTAAGTAATTGGGTAATGTATCAATCAAGTAAAATGATAACTTATTTTTGTCCTCAATTAAAGTAATGAAATATAGGAAACAGAAGTAGAAATATTTTAATCTATTATAAACATGAACATAATAGCTGAAACAACGTAATAACAAAACCTAATATAAATGTATACTAAATTTATTTGTTACGGTTATCCGAATTGGGATGGAAAATGGAAAAATTATTTTGTTTTATATCAAAGCTACATAATGGGCTATCTGCGCTTCATTCATTGCGGAAAATCGAACCCCAGATTTTAGCATTTTAAATGGATAAACTTATAGCGGACTCACCGGAGGATAATTTTTTTATTTTCGAGTGTCCGAGGATATTTTTCTAGGATTGCAACGGAAAAGAAAGCTAATGTAAGTATATAACAAATGGAAAAACAAAAATATTTTATAAGTAAATAACATTATTTGTTAAAGAAAAATTGAACAATCAACCCATTTAATTAAGCTTACCACCGTAGAAACAACAAAATCTTATTTAACTGGTCCCAAACGTAAAACTGGTATTGTTCTGTTTACTGATAAAACGAAGACAGTTCGGTTTGGTTTGAATTTCGCACAACACTACACGAGGGTTACAAGAGTAGTGAAAGACTAGAGAAAAGGCAGCTAATCATCCCCACACACCGCCAACAATTGGGCTACTCTTTTACCAACGAATAGCGGGATTGATCGTAAAATTACAACGCCCCACGGCTAAAAGGGCGAAGAGGTGGGAAGAGGATTCGAACCCGCGACCCTCAGGTTGCAGAAACTTTAAAAAAACCTCAAGAAAGCTTCTGAAATAAACTTGAGTTTTTGATATTGGTTTAGAATTTTTGTGCAAAGTTACACAATGGAGATCTGAGCTAGTTGTCCTTAACTTTTAACTGATAGACTAAGGTGAAGACAGCTAGCCACCAACATCTACCGTCAGCTCTTGTCTGTCTGAGTGATGGAGTTAGACTGCCACTTTATAACGTACCCACGACCACACCTTACGAAGTGAACTTCTGCAGACGCCAGACGCGAACCCTCGGACTCACAGTCCGAGCACGCTATCTCTTCTCGCTGCCCGTCTTTACATAGTAAAAGCAAACAATATACCATAGGTGAATGACCATAACAATAGATAACTAGGATGAAAGGAACTTCCCTAACCAATGTTCTACATTAAACTTACAAAAACTTGTATTGCATGACAATTTTGAGAAAAAAAACACAAACTAAATATGGGAGGTAGGAAATATATATTGTGTCTGCATACTACATTATGAAAACCACAACTAAAAAAAGAAACAAGAAAATGACATAAAGGTTGTTTGTCACACGCCATCTATGACTTCACTACTGTTTATCTTCCTAAACGAAAAATACATTGAAGAAGTTTATGATGTCGTCACTAATAACAAATTCGATTGCTAGATGCTCATGTGTATTTGTTATTTTAGGAATAGAATTCTTAGATATGTTTCAACTATGGTAAAATCTCATTTTATATAAAATAATGCAGGTAATGACTTTCGCATTATAATAACCACTAAAAAATTCTTCTATATTTCGTAAAGGTTAACTGTATAAATAGATCATATATATAAGTCAGGTACACATAGATATAGTCATATTTTAATATTAGGTATAGACATTAAATAATAATTTGTTTGTTTGTAGTTTAAGCACAAAGCTACACAATGGGCTATCTGTGTTCTACCCATCACGGCTATCGAAACCTGGTTTCTAGCGTTCTAAGTTTACAGACATGGAGGGGGCAACTTAAAGGAAACTTAAGTTTTTGTTCAGCAACAGTTTTATTTAATTTGTTTTGTGCCTTTGAAAGTATTCTCAATATAATAAATTAGTTACACATCTCGCAGAGCGTAATAAGATGCAGAAATCTATTCTTTTCCAGGACAAAAAATATTTTATAAAATAGAAATATTATTTGGTTTTATGTAATTTCTTTTTAATCTTTAGATATTCTCATATCTTTCAATAAAAGAAGGATTTTGGCTTTTAAATGTCGTCAAAACTAAATATGTTTATGAAGCTTTTCAAATTTAAAAAATGTTCCTTAATATGTTCTGAATCATTGAAATACCCTTACTTCTTTCCAGGGGCCAGGTGGCTAGTGCGCTTGACTCCCAGTCCCACCAAACAGGTTCGCTCTTTCAGCCGTGGGGGCGTTATAATCCTACTATTATTTGGTAAAATAGTGGCAAAAGAGTTAGCGGCGGGTGGTGATGATTAGCTACCTTAAAAAAACATGACAGTTATTTAGTTTAAAAGAAGGGAAAATAAAATTTGTGTTGGTCTGCCCTTCCAAACTGGGGTGCTCCGGAACTTCTGTTCCTCTTCAACCCCGCACAAGAGATTTAATTGTTTTAGTAAATTTGATTTTAACTTGTGCTTGCAGAATAAGCTAGTGAAAAGAAGAAATGATAGCCACAAAGTCAAAACAAAACAAGTCACCTGGTGAAGATGACATCTCTAAAACATGTATTAAACAACTATCTGACCTCTTATTTAAAAATCTAACGAGCATCTTTACATTAACCTTACACATCGGAATTCATCTCTGTAGTGTAGAAAACAACACCAAAAGTCAAAATACCCAAACTCGATAAATCACCTCAGTAATGAGAAAATTACAGACCAGTCAACTTAACTAATACAATCGTCAAACTAATGGAACTAATAATCACATAGCGACTACTTAG